AAAATATTTTACTCTATAATGTTTAATTTGTATTCAATTTAATAATAAAGAGTAAAAAAAAATAATGTTTTTTTTAATTATAGCAATGAAAAATGAAAATCATTAAAAATAATTTGAAATATGTTTTTTTATTTTTTATTTTAGCCATATTATGTGTCATCCACTTCACTTCATTAAACCCAAGCAAGCCAAAAAAAAAATGGGTTAAACAGTTTAAAAGGTAATAGATCACTCATTGCTACAATAGATAAATATTTCAAAGTATGATGCTCTAATATAAATAATTTGAAAGTATGTTGTTGTAGTAAGAACAAATGAAAATATAATGTTATAATAAGAAAATTTATAAAAATAAGTTATTATTTCATGTATTTCTAAAATAAGTTGTTATATATACATTTTATTTTATTTTTGTAGGTTCTTATAATTTGATGAGATGAAAATCCTAAAAATTGGTATTGTTATGAATACATATGAGTACATAGCTGATAAAAATGATCGTGTATAATAAAAGTTAAGATGAGAAGTATAAGAAGTGATCTGGACCTTTGATCAATTTTAATCTCATCTCACCCCATGAATTGCGCTTGATACGAGAATTGATCTGGCTCGATGCATCTCATTGGTCTTGAGATTCAATTAGGATTGATCCAAGAGTGAAGATCATCTCTTATCCTTCTCAACATACATTTCATTCTCATCGGAACCCAACACATGTCTCTCTCTCTATATTATCTATTTACCTCTACATATTAAATTTTAAGTATTTACTTGTAACGACTTTTACAAAAATTCCTAGTTAATTTTTTATTTTTTTTGCTTAAAATCCTCGAGAAACAAAAATTGATATTCATGGTTTTAAATACGGTAACGAAAAGAGAGAGACGTGAGCTGGGGTTTCAAGTTTTATGATGCAACATGTTGCGAAAATTATCGAACAACCAACTGCAAGTGCATAAATGTAAATGTTACAACGTCATTTTCATATACGGTACACTCCTATATTAATATATAGACCGAGAAAAGAGGTACAAGTCTTAATCCAATCTAGCTTAATATATATACGCAAGTGATCTATTTGTGTATATATGTTTTTCATAATATAACTTTAAATAAATGGCTGGTTTCAATTATTTTTAATATAACCTTAATGGGTATGTTGGGGATTACGAGTGTGTTTAGATTATTTACTGGGTGTTGGTGAGTTGTTCAGTTTTTGTTTTCATTTAGTGATTTTACAACAGTTGATAACATTGGTGTCAACTTTATCGTCCTTTTTACCATAAACAGCTGTATCAACATCATCAAATATTACAAGATTATGAGGTTACTGGTAGGGGTGTTCGTCATCAGATTAGATTTAGGGGCTGTTTACCTAAACCTTATCCGATAAGCGCTTAACGGTAAAATTCAATGTTTTTGCTTACTTACCGGGTAAGATTTTAGTCTACCAGAACAACATCGTATGTAACAAATTACCCGGTAAGCACTGACCGCGGTAAGAGTCGTCGTTATTACCTACCGGATAAGACTCTCGGTCATTGCCTTCGCTCTTACCGAGTAAGATTCTTGGTCCTTGCCATATTCATCCGGTAAGATAATGTGAGCCGATAAATGCTTACCCGAGTAAGCATTTGATAAACGGCCCCTTGATGGATTTGATCAATGTATGTAATATTTTGTCATCTGATCTGATCCGATCCAATTCAATGGATGATTAAATCAGATCGGTTTCCATCCATTGGATATTACTATTGGTTATCCATTTATTTAGATTTGATCCATCTAATATTTTGATACAATATTCAACCAATTAATCTAGTATTTCAACAAATTATTCATATATTTTTTTAAATTATCAAAAAAACACTACATGTAAATATCAACTAAAAAAACAATATTGTAAAATCTTGATAATTATATATAATTATTAATTGGTTTAATGATAATTGGATGGATTTGAGCACGTTAGTTTTATTGGATTTTGAACTGGCGTACAAGAAACGACCTATCCAATTTGGATGTTCAAATTTTGGATCCGATACGATCCAATTACAATTGGATATCTGATTATGATCGATCAATTATAATTTGAATGGTTGGTTTAAATTTAATCAGATAACTTTCTGCACAACCTTAGTTAATAGTTAAAATGATCACAAAATATAAAAATTTGAAATTTTGTTACACCAATAGAGAAAAAGTTTTGTTATAGTAACACATAACCTTAAAGATCAACTCAACTTGCAAAAAACTGTTAGACCTTAAGGATCCGTTTGGTTTGCAGAATTGTTTTTTAGAGATTTAGATTTTATGGAGGGATTTAGATCTGGAATGAATTTAAAATCATTTGGTGTGTTTGGTTTGTATGATTTGAAATGAAATTGGATTCTATTATTTATAAATAATTTAAAAAATATATAAAAAATTAAATTGCATTTTTATTAATCGATTATTACAAAACAAACATTTTAACATTTTTTAGAACCTTATTGCATATAATCCTACGAAATCCCGTGAAATCTTGAGCACCCCTAAGGATTTCAAAATTGTATGTGTTATAGGATTTCAAATATGGACAATCAAACAAATCAAACATGAGATTGGAATGAATTTGATATCCAAATCCCCCAAATCCATATAATTTCTACAAATTAAACAAGACCTAAGACCATCTATACTGTATTATAAAACATTTGATAAAAACTCTTAAAAATCATTTTTTATGCATAAAGTACTGTTTATTGATGAAATTTACTTAAAATTCAAGATTACAAATAAATTGTGCGTAAGTACAGCATATTAAAACTTCATTTTTAAATTTGTGTAACTAACTATAGATAAACATAATCAAATACGAGATAAAAATTTCATATTGAATATAAAAAATCTAAAATATAGTTAAGATAATCATTAGTTATAACAAAATACTTAACTATTATCTTTACAAAAAATTATATTATTAAACGGTAAATAAATTATTTTGTTATTAAATCTAAATTAAATTATAAATAAATAATTAAATTAAATTAATTACACAAAAGAACAAGAACTTTAAATACTGTTATTGATATATATTTTTTAATTCTTTTATGATATCTTTAAAAATTTATATTTTATTCAAAAATAAAAACATTATCGTTTTTTTAAAACCACTAAAAACTGTATTATATCAACGAAGATAAATAATAAAACAAAAAATCAAAATTGAAATATATCTCGTTGTATTATGCAAACCATCTTCTAATATATCATAAAGTTTCGATTCGAATTTTTTCATAATTGTTATCTTTAAATCTCACTTGAAAATAATATATTCTTAAAAAACACAATAAGTTTTAATATTAAAAATATGGAGTAATTATTGAAGAAAAACACTAATTTCATACAGCGTTTACAGTCTGTGGATTTCATCTCTCTCTCTCTCTCTCCCTCTGGCTTTAAAGTCTGTGGAACGTCTCTGTAGACAAACGTAGTTGCGGCCATGGCTATCGCAGCAGCAGTTGTTATCGTCCCTATTGGCGTCCTCTTCTTCGTCTCTGGTCTCATCGTTAATCTTATTCAGGTATATTTTCCTCTACTCTATATCTTTACTTTCAAATCATTCAATGCAAATATTGCTAGGGATTTGCTCAATTTTATAAAGTTTTAACCCTTGGGATCAACACGATGTTTGATTGCAAGTTATTTCTTCCAGCTCTTAGTAGATTTATACTTTTATGTGTGTGTGTGTCTTGTTGAAATCTCTACTAAGATTCACTCGTTGTGAACTTCTATAAATACGCTAAATCTCACTATGTTTGATTTGTTACTGCTGATTTACTATTTTAGGCACTTATTTTTGTGATTGTACGACCATTCTCGAAGAGTATATTTAGAAGAATTAACAGAATGGTGGCTGAGCTTCTATGGCTGGAACTTGTTTGGATCGTTGATTGGTGGGCAGGAGTTAAGGTGATGATGATTTTATTCAAGTTAAAAGTTTTTAGATTACGTATTAAGTTCGTATATGTAAACATCTGAAAATCGAGCCATGCTAAGAATTTTTAGGGCTTTTCGATGTTCACTGCTTTCTTTGTTTCAGTTTTACCACAAGTGTTTTCAAGAATGCTGCTATTCAAAATTTTGGGGCTAAATGAACTCCTAGGTTCAAAATGGATTATGTGATTGATGATTTAATTTGTTACATTAGGTTTGTGTCTGTGCAAGCCAGAGCAGTAATTTAGATTGTCATAGGAAAATCATTCCTTATCTCTTTATAGACATCATTAATCTGTAATTGACTACCTGCACATCATAGGGAAGTTATTGACTTGTAGTTTTTGTATGGTCTCTCTCACTCTTTCTCCCTAAAAAAAAGTTAGTTTGAGTATCTTCTTCAGTTCTTTGACTCAATATTCTATTATAGACACAATACTTGCTTTTTCTGCTAGTGCCATATTTTACCTAAAAGCTCCTTGTATTTTCATTCTTTGGCTATATACCATAAGTTTTCCTACTTTTGTCTGCTTCTGAAGTGCAGCGGTTTCTACATGTATCTGATTTATTTGTGATCACGTCGCATATAATGTGTAGTTATTCTTAGGAAGTAAAGAATCTTTGTACACTTCTTTAATCAATAACTAGCTATAAAGATCTCAATATTTAATGCCTTGGGATTCATGGCCTCTTTGTGTGTAACCTTGATCGATATATTTTTTTTGCGGTTCACACCGTTTGTTGGCTGAATTTTCTGGGACAATATGATGGTATTGACATAATAACATGTTATAAGAACTTTTGAACTTTAGTGGATCGCTTACCTGCTTGAAATTGGTTAATTTCGTAGTTAACAATGACAACAATATTGATGTTGCAGTTGAATTTTATACTTTTGGTCCATTCTGTTACTCTATTATTTCTCATTTCTCTTTATTTATTGTGGTTTGACTTGGGTTTTTCCCCTTATTGTGGATGGGGTGTTTGTTTGTGGACCAAAATATATCGATATATTTTACATGAAAATTCTATAAAGATTTATGAGGTTGTGTTGCTGCAGGTTAACCTATACACAGATCCTGAGACTYTAAGAATGATGGGTATGTTGTATACTGCTTTTATAATTGTTACTTTGCTCCGTGTAAAGAATWTACTGTTGTTGACTTGTTGCACAATATTTTCGCCTAACCCAGTTCTCTTTCCAGGTAAGGAACATGCTCTTGTCATTGCTAATCATAAAAGTGACATTGATTGGCTCATTGGATGGGTGTTTGCTCAGGTACTTAATAAATATACTCCCTGATTGGTGTTTAATTATTTATGTGTGCATGCCACTGCAAAAGCATTGTTATGGCTGTGTTTGTCAATGATGCTTATGCAAAGGCTTATAGTGTTGCTTTGGAAAAAAACCTATGCAACCAATCGTATATGCTTCTCATTGCATCTCAGCAAAGGTTGTGCTCTTTACTAATATTCTTTTACTTGTCCTGTAACAGCGATCAGGGTGTCTTGGTAGCACGTTGGCTGTCATGAAGAAATCATCAAAATTTCTTCCTGTAAGTATTCAAATAAATGAAATAGTAAAATAGGATGCATATGAAGCTCTTAATATGAAGTAAAAACTTTTTATATGGGATGTTCCCACCTGTATAATAAAACATACAAAGCTCTATTCAGATTTTACATATTTGGAAGTTGGCTTGTTATAATATAATTCTAGACGCATTTGGAGATGCTCAAGTTGAAAGGTAAGCCTATTACCTATGTAACACCCAGGATTTTGACGATTTGCTGTATAATTGTTAGAATTGCTTTTCTGGAGCTACTATTCATCTGCGACACTATTGGGTGTATGAACCTTCAAATTTATTATGTGTAATGTGTGCAACTCTCCCAGAGCAGTCCACAACTGTGGCAGTCCACTAAGATACAACTTCAAACTTATCTGCTTAGGAGTTAGGAAATCAATGTTGTGGTTGTTGCAAGTTCATAGTATTCTTCCTGTCACAACATATATATAACATCCCATATTTTCATCATATAATTGCAATCCATTGCATAACATCTATCATTTTATATTTACACTTTAAGAGATTATTACATGGTATTTTTTTGATACCTATCCTCAAAATGATAGCTCTATAACTCTACTCATTCATTCTTCTATATCAGTCTCAACTCTTGACAATATCAACAACATAAGAAATGAGCACAACCCTCAACAAGCAGCTGAACACATGGGTGAGATCTGTCGTCAATTGGTTTGATGATATGAGCACCATTAGAGAGGAACTACTGATCCTAAGAACGACCAATAAGAGTGTGTATGTGCAAGAATCACTATAGTACCACAAATAACTCTTATGATCATTTTATAAGCATGTAAATATGAAACTGTAACTGGTAACCAACTGGTTATTTTCTCTTCCTAAATCCTACTTACTCATGCTTATTCATAAAGTCAGCCTCAACAATCTATAAGTTGCATAAGAACAAATGAGGCTCAATTTGTTCAAATGAAAGCACCAGATGCTCAAATGCGCTTAAAGATTATGGATCTCCAATATGAAATGTAATTGTAACTCAAATTGTCAGGTAGGAGCTTACCATGAGTCTCAAGTGTGTTGTTGCTTGCTCTTACTTGAACATCATGTGCTCTGGACTTGTACTTTGCTTAAGCTCAAAAGGATATTTGAATCTCCTCTCTTGGTCTTTGAAGTGAAGACTAAGAACATGCTGTTATTTTTATCTTAAAACATTTCTGAACTAAAAACTGAACTAGTAACTTACTGTCAAAAAAAAGCATGAAATGTAACCCTATGCTATAAGGCCACGAGGTTGCATGTTATTGGACCATAGATTGCAACACCTACTAAAAATGGTGGTTTTACAATATGTAATTAGAGAATAACTTCTTTGCTTAAGCCATAAGGGTACAATCTTAATGTAAAAATTAAATTTTTTGTCTTATTTCTGTGAGGGCCATAGGGTTACTATGATGGAACTGTAAGGTTACAATCTCAGTCATAATGATGCGCTCATTGGGCAAAGGGTTACAAGTTTTAGTCCTAAAGTTTTTGTTAAAATCATACATAGACTCTAATGTCATACTGTACTAGCCAGAGCTTTACACGCTTGTTTACGTTCTGAAATTCTAGTCTTTTTTAGAATATTTTGACTTACAATTATTGTTTGAGTACTTAGTTAAGAATAGTTTCTGCTAGTTATAAGTTCATGATAAGAGTACTAAAAAAAATTAGTAGCATTCTTAGAACCATTACCTTTGCTATTTCCCTTTCGGAGCACCTCTCTTTGTAAGCATCCTTTCTCCCTCTGTCAACTATTTCTAGGCTTTTTCCTTACTAAGACTGGCTTAGGGGGTGTTTGGTTCATAGAATGTTCTTTTTGAAGGAATGGAATCCCTCAAAGTTGACTTTGAAGGAATTGGAATGGAATTTGACCGTGTGTTTGGTTGGCGTGAATTGGAATGAAATCTGTTAAATGATTAGGAATCTGCCTGTTTGATTGGTAGAATGTAGGTCCGTAGTTGGAATGAATAAACAAGAAATGACCAAAATACCCTTATTATGATATTTTTTATAATTTGTTTCTTAAATTATAAGTATATTAAAACATCAAGTCATTTAACAGATTAAACCCTCCCCACCCCCACCATCATTCCCAACCGGTTGAACCCTCCCCACCCCACCCTTTTCTTTCTCCAGCAACCGAACCCCCTCCCATCGACATACATGACAGCGAACAAAAGCAACAAAGAAAAACTCAAAGATGTACAGAGGAGGTCTAGTTTTGGGTTTTGATTCAAGAACTTCGAAGGATTTGATTCAAGAACTTCAAAGTGTTTTGGCTAAAGCTTGAAGCTGATTTAAGATGCAGATACAGATTCAGGTTGGGGGTGGAGGTGTTCTTGAGATATGGAATTGATTTTGGGATTTGATTGTAAGGATATGATTTTAGTGATATGTTCTTGGGATTTGTTCAGTCGAGAAGGGGTTGCAAACCCTGGTTCAGAACGGCGGTGGTGTCTGTTGGTAAGTGGTCGACGGTGGTACAGAACGGTGGTCTATTGGTAAGTGGTCGGCGGTGGTTCATAATGGTGGTGGTAAGTGACATTGTTGGTTATGGAGTTCTTCAGATTTGGTGATGGGATTTTTTCAGACGGAGGTCTTATGGGTCTGGATAAATCAAGTAGGGAAGATGGGGATCATTTTGTCTTTTTGAGAAAATGGGATGGAATGGAATTGAATTCCTTCTCAATTGTGATGGAATGACAAAATCCACTGGACCTTGTGGAATCCATTTCCATCTCATAGGTAAACCAAACGCCCGAATGGAATTTGGTCAATGAAATTGATCATTTCAATTCCTTTGGATTCTGTCAGAGTCCAACGAACCAAACACCCCGTAGTGCTTTGAGTTTTTGTGTATATAAGTTCACGTAATGTACCTCTTTTTATACATGAAGATAAAGCTCTTTGGTTTCTCCAATAACATAAAGCAATCCAACTCTTTAGAATCCTCCTAAATTCTAGAGTTGGGATTACTTGTCTACTTCTCATAGCTTCTCAAACTTCCCCGGATGCTTTTTTCTTTTCTATCCAACGCGTAATTCACCAATGGAGTTCAGTTTGATATAATCTTAATGTTATAAAAACATTCGCATTAAGGTTACTTGCTTTGCCAAGTAACAACATCCAGAACTTCACCTATCTGCTCTTGCTAAACGTCCAATAGCTTAGACTTAGACTTCACACTTGGCTTAAGATCATATATTTCTTGTAAGTTAGCGTTATGAAGTTACATCTAGCCTTGTAAGGCTTTTGCGGTTGGAAGTATGTTAGACATTATGCGTATGCATACTCTTTCAAGTACCTAGGCAACTTCTGGGAAATTTCCTAACACGCTGTTCACAACATTTATTTCCATAAACCTAGTTTGCATTGGATGAATACTGTCTTTTACACGACAGATAATGTATAGTCCTTTTTGTGAATTATTTTATCTCTTACAAAATTAATTTTTAGAGGTCATCATATTCCTCTTAAATCGTCATTGATTTCATCCTACTCTCTTCTAGTTTAGTCTTCTTTTAAACTAGAGATATCTAGTTCCTTTTGCTCCTTGCTTGTCTCGCTGGAACATGGCTCATCTTGTCTTTTATAACTTCTAACCATATTAACTAACTTTTGAATACTATGACTTCCCTTCACAATTTGAATGGTACACAAGCTTGCATGAAACTTATAGCTATCTTAATATGGAATAGAGTTTCAAATTTGTGGTTTCTTATCAATATATATGAGCTTATTGTGAGAGTAAAACTTCAGCATGCTTTGTCATTGTTAAAGAAATTCAACGTTTATCGCCGAAAAGGAAAGAAAAAAAGGAACTTGGAGGAAGGAACTGAAGGAGATGGTAAAACAGAATGTGAACCTGACACTATTCTTTTATTAAGTCAGCCTGTCTTACTCTCTTAATATGGTCAATATCATCAAACTGTCGGTGACTACCAACTAGGATGGGTAATCTTTTTCCAAGAAGGATTTGGAGACTGATGAAGACAAAATGTTACATGTATATGATTTTGTAGTCCTTTTCTGATTTTATTAGTCATCAGATTTTTGGGCCTCTGTTTGATCTTTACTCATGTATTTGTAGGCTTAGCACGTGTTATTTCAAAATGATGTTACCACTTGCTAAGGTGAAGCTGTTCAATATATGCAGGTCATTGGTTGGTCAATGTGGTTTTCTGAGTATCTTTTTCTTGAGCGAAGCTGGGCTAAAGATGAAAGTACTCTAAAGGTATCATCACACTGATTTAGTTCACTTATGCTATCTAGTATGTTTATGTCATTCCTCTTTCCATCATCATACACAACTATGTTCTCTAAGCCGTGTCTTCTTTTGTCGTCACTTCTTTCTTGGACATGCTAAATTGCTAAGTGTGTTTTGACTTTTTGACTTTGTATATCGCAGTCAGGTCTTCAAAGCCTAAAAGACTACCCTCAGCCCTTTTGGTTGGCTCTTTTTGTCGAGGGGACCCGATTTACTAAAGCAAAGCTTTTAGCAGCTCAAGAATATGCATCATCAATGGGGTTGCCTGTTCCTAGAAATGTTCTAATTCCACGAACAAAGGTAATACACCATTGAATCTACCAGCAAATACCAAGATGATTAGCTAAGGATATCCTTATGATTTCTATTTATGGGTCTTTACCTGCTCATTTAAATCGTTTGCATGGTGCATTTAAGGTCCATGATGTGGAAATAATTGCTTCTGATTCATTCGTCCATAGTGTTGTCATATCTAACTTTATGGCCAACAAAATCATTGGACGGATATATGTGCCAACCTATCTCCCTATCAGTGGGAGGATAGAAAGCAAGATATGCATCTCAGACCATTATTTCTGCCACTTTTGTGTAACTAGTGTTTGAAGATGAGAAGCTTGAAAAGCTTATGGAGATGAACTTTTGATGGATGGGTTATTAGATGAGAATCAATTTAGTAGAAATATCCAATGATCCAGTGAAACCAGTCTAGACATGTTATATAGCATTTAGTGTTAAACTTTACCCTCTACACCCTTTGGTTAATACTAATCACAAATTACTGGATGTTGCAATTTTCTCCCTTAAGTTGGTGCCTAGATATCTCATGCACAACTTGGATGAAAAGAAGTAACAAGAACAGTTAGTCTCTGCAGTTTGTCTTGTATAATTTACAACTGCCTGATAGCGAGTTCAATCTCCTAGTTTTTCCTTAAGAAAGTGTGTCCTGTTGATTAATTTTAGTTACAGATTACATACAGATTGTAACTATATCTAGATAATTCTTCTAATTTGCAAAGGAAATAAACCCCTCTTATGTCATGATACTGCTTTACGACACTAGGTTATGTTTTCAAGAAGCCAACAAAAGAAAAGATACACTATGCCCACTTTTCTTGTTATGGGACTTGGATACTGCATGGTTTACACTCATATTTACTCACACATCTTTATATTGTAACTGTTTATTTCTCAATTTGTCCGAGTCTTGGTGATTCAACTTGCTTGTTAATGATTCATACATGAAGGCATGTCGTAATCATTAGCTGCAAGTCGGTTTACTTTTTGACAAAAATAACCATATTTCTCTGATGTCTTTCACTCCTGCATTTTACATTTTTTTTTCAGTTTTATTTTCATATTTAGTTCTCCATTTTCTTTTAATTTAATTATCATTTTCTTTTTTGTTTTCTTTTGTTTTGATATGGGTTTATTTTTGGGTAAATCATTCAATATTTCTTTCATCGTAATGTTGTAACTTCTCATATCGTGTTATTTAAGAGTATATTGAACTTTTTTGTAAAAATAATGTTATGCTTACACAACAATTGCAAAATAATCCTTGTAATGCTACATATACCAAAATTTCAAAATTCTAGCTTCACATTGTAATGCAGTCTATTGGTTAGCTTCATATTGTTCTTAAATTATAATGTGATATGGTTATCTAACATTTACATTATCATACAATACGAAAATAGTTAGAGGCAAGTTCAGATGTTTCTTATAGATCACTTACCAAATAGTAATTCTCATTCAGCACCAATTCCACAGGGAATTCTATCATGCATGACAATTTCAGTTTTATCAAACACCACCTACATGTGGTCTATAGTTCTCAAACGCAACCAAGTAGTTCCTGCATGTTATACTGCTTTTTACATAGTTTAATTTACTTATTATTATCATTAATATGTTGCCAGGGGTTTGTTACATCAGTGAGTCAGATGAGATCATTTGTTCCTGCAATTATTGATATGACTGTTGCTATTCCTAAAGATTCAACTCCACCAACAATGCTGAGGCTCTTTAAAGGCCAGTCTTCTGTGGTAAGCCTTCTTGATCTTAAGTTCTGGCTATGTAAAGATGAGGTGCAGGGACAAGGGGGCCCATTTGAGAGCATGTCAACTCTTATTTATTTCTGCTCTCTCGTGATAATTTGATACTCAGAAGTGCTTTATTATATCCCTTCCATTTTCCTTTACTCATCATTTACCCTTTCTGGTCCCAGATAAACTCTCATGTATCTTTGTAAATTGCACAAGTTTCACGGCCAGCATCTATGCCCTTGTTTACATTATGAGTAGAATATTTAGCTGTTCTATTTTGCTACTTTTCTTTTTAATAGGCAGAGAGGGAAAGGGAATATTTATGTTCCATGTTGCCGATCAGATTGCTTTAACACCCTGAAAACATGCCTATTTGAACTACAAATATCATGAGAAGTATTCATAGTACTTCATTAAAAAAATTATTTATTTGCTTATGGTTTGTGGCTACCATATAAATCAAGAAGAGGGATGAATCAGTGAACACAGATGTGAAGCTTCCAGCGTTAGTCTGTCACTTTTCTTGTTTGGAAAAAGAAGCTCTGCATAGGCATTGCTCACAGGGAATGGAACCTTGAATATTAGCCCAATCACTAGGAAACCAATAGTTAGTACTAAACTTTTATGTGGTTTTTGGTTTTTATACTTTCAGGTTTGATATACAGAGAATTGTTTTTATTGGTAACCAGCCAAAGTGAAAATGGAATCAGCCGCTCTTATCACAGTTTGAAAAAACCTTCCAGACAGATTAAGTTTAATTATTAAATCCAGTCGTTAGATAAGGCAAAATGTGCAGAAAGTAGTGATAGTATTTTTCATAACCAGGATGTGATGGTCTTTTGGTAACTTAGTGATTTTGTCATTCTAATCTTTGTGCTGGTATGATCAGTATATTAGGGATGATCTGCTTATAAACCGAGGAATGTGATGAATAAAGGGATTTTTTTTGTGCAGATTCATGTCAAAGTCACTCGCCATTCAATGAAGGATCTACCAGAATCAGATGAAGCTGTTGCACAATGGTGTAAAGATAAATTTATCGTCAAGGTGTGGTGCATGCCTTTTGAGAGTCTTCAATTTTCTTTCTTTATATGTCTTCACAATTGGCTATTATTTTTCCTTTTCTTGTTTCTGTATTTCTTCCTTGTTGAAGCTTAATTGATTGTTTTGATTATGTTTCTCTTGCTGTCCTTATCCACAGGATGATGTATTAGACCAACATAAAATAGCAGATGCCTTTCCTGATTCAGAACTCGTTGACATCGGCCGACCATTGAAGTCTCTAGTGGTAAGAACATAGTTATAATAGACTTAAGGCTTATGTTTGGCTAACTGGCTGACAAGCTAGCTGTTGGCTGATACTTCCTCCGGTCCAGAATAAGTGTGCACTATAGAAATGGCACACTGTTTTAGACATACACAATAATTACACTTTTTAGTTAACCAATTGACAACTTCACCCTTGATTAATTTCTCTGTAAATATTGTGAATTAATCAAGGGTAGATTTTAGAACTAGTTATCTATTTTTGAAACTAAACACTTATTTTGGGACATACATAATTAGGAATGTAGACACTTTGGGACGGAGGGGGAGTAATAAGCTAGCTGATAAACTAGTTGTGTTTAGTAAAACTAGCTCATATGGTAGATGACAATGTAAAATTACCTTAAATGACATGTTGAAAAATTAATTGGAAAAATATGAGGGCATAATTGGAAAAAAATGGAAAAAAACCTTTGGAGCTTATTGAAACGCTACTAGAAGTAGCTTTTCAAGAGCTAACTTATAAGCCAACCAAATGAGGCTTTTTCAAAAATCTCAAAAAATTAGCTAAACATATGGTTGCCAAAGCCATCTCTCTTATCTTTCAGGGTGAGGCCATTATAGTGACTATTCTCTCTCATATGTTTACAAATATAATAGGTGGTTGTTTCTTGGGCATGCCTGCTAGTTTTCGGGACCTTCAAGTTCTTGCAGTGGTCTAATCTTCTATCTTCATGGAAGGGCCTCACATTCGCTGCAGTTGGGTTGGCAACTGTTACCATTTTAATGCAGATCTTGATTCAGTTCTCTCAAGCGGAGCATTCAACGCCTGCAAAGGTGGCCCCCGTGTTGTCTAGCAACGGCACTGTACGAGAAAAGAGTCAGTAAGTACAACTTGTTCTTGAACGGATTGACCAAATAGCCATTCCTCTTCATTTATGAACAGATGTGTGTAGTAAAGAACAGAATGAATATCAATCTATCTGGTTAACATTTTCATCAGCTAGGTTCAGTTTATGGTAGTGGTTTCAGTTTTATGGTGTCTCTTTGACACCCATAGTTTCAGAGATCTCCGACAACCATGGTGAAGGTTGCGATGGGTAAAGGTTGTGGCGGCTTGGATTTTTCCAGTTCTGCAGTTGTTGGTTCGAACCATGGTTGTTTTGTGGCTCATGAGAGAGGTGGATAACGATGGTGGGATTGTGTGGTTCAGTGGTTTCAGTATTGTGTTAGTGTTACGTTTAAATTTGGTACTGGTCTTGGTGGTATTTTGATGATTTTTTTTAGTAAAGTAGGGTCTGGGTGGTCTAACAAAACCAGACCGCAAACCGCACCTTTTGATTATTTTTAAAGCAAACCATAATGTGAAACAGTGCAAACCGTCAAAATGGGTCCGGTTTAGTTTGGTCGGTTTTCGTGGTCTGTTGGGTTTTCTAAATGCTTTCGAGTGGAGTTAGGTTAAGCTGTTAACTTATGAAATAGGTCACTCACTGCACATCTCCACTATGATCATGCTACTACTGTTACTGTCACATCTCTAACCTAAACCTCAACACTACACCATTATTGTGTCTGTCACAACTGTCACTCACCCGCACCCCATCTTATCCCAACCCACCACTAACCACCATGCCACAACTACTGTTGTCATATCCACCCACTCCTAGCCACCCGACCTCCATCCCACTATTGTTGTTGTCATAGCTGCCATCCCGCCCCACCGTCCTGCCTC